AAAGTAGTAAGACAATTAAAAAATCATGGGGCAAGTTTCATCTAGTTCATTATAAAGAATTCAGGGGAAAAATTAGAAGATTGGTTAATACTTCAAAATTATTCTTCTTGAATGATATTAGCCTTCTATTACCTGCCCTTTCAAATCCTCCTAAGATGCAAAAATTTGCAAGACGTAACAAAAAGTTTCAGAACTATGACATAAAGAGAAATTATTAGTCCTCCACAGTTTACAAAACCAATTTCAGACTCTATCTTCAGCTTCTTTCTACCATTAAGTAGAATTTAGAATGTTTTAGTTTGTTTGTTTATTTAGTTGAATACTGTACTAGAAACAGCATTAATATTAACTAGTGGCCGGAATGAATAGAGATCCTTAGGCTTATGCTTACTGAGTGAAAATCTTACTGTTTTTAAACAGTTGATCCGTTGAACCATTTCTCAAGCTGATATGTGCTAAGACATATCAGCATAGATGATATATTGAGCATAGCATATAGTCCAGAAGACCAAAGAAGTAGTGCAAATTGAATTTCTTTTTAATGCAGGATACTTTAAATATCTGTTCTTTGCCAGGGAATTACGTATCCTGACACTCATGTATAGCTTTTAGTAATATATTTATTCACATTTCTGTCCTGCCACAAAGAACCCTTGGCTTAGATAGAATATTAAACCAATAAAACATCCATGGTATAAAATTCCATAAAAATGCACATCTACCAAGCATAATCATACAAACAAAATTAAAGTTAAATATGGTGTGATAAAATGAGAGGAAGGTTCATTGAAACAATTCCATCTTTAAAAGTTCCAAAACACCAACAAGGAGGAGACCAGCCTGATCTCAACAGGAAGTTGTTCTACAGGGTCATCACTGCCACTGAGAAGCAGCACCTGCTTGCTTCTTGCCACCCGAAGCTCCTGCAAATGGGGGATCACTAAAAGTTTCTCCCTGTTGGATCTGATTAGTCAGGCTAGTACTGCTTGGAGTAGACTATCTTGCAGATACTCAGGTGCCAAGCCATAAAGATCTATATAGGTTAAAACCAGCTCCTTAAATTGTACTCAGAAACCAATCTGCAACCAATGCAGGTTCCACAAAATACATGTTATATGTTCCCAACAACAGGATCCATAAAGTATGTGGGCCACCATATTTTGGATCAGCTGTAGTTTCCTAATAATTTTTAAAGGGATCCCAAATAGAGTGCATTATAGAAGTCCAACCAGAGATAAGGAGGGCATGAATTATTGTAACTAGGTCATCCTGTCCCAAATAGGGTTACAACTGATGCACCAGCTGCAGCTGGGTGTAGGCCCTCTAGTCATATCTTCCACCTGCTGATCCAGCAGGAGATGATCCCCAAGTCATGAACCCACTCTGATGGGTAGTGCTTGCTTGTCAGGAAGCAACTCTGGTTGCAACAGAGAACCCCAATGTATCCACAGCAACTCTGACTATAAGACCCCATTGGATATGGAATGATTTACATTGTTCTTTAGAGTTTGTCTATTGTTAATAGCTATGGCATTCACAGTAAACTCTGAATTAAACATCCACTTGCTGTCTTACTGCATCTAATCTCATTGTCACATTAATAAATACTGTAAATATATCATGTAGCTTTTCAGTCTTTAACCTTGAAGCTGTTTTAGCTACAAAGTATTGGAAGGATTGTTGATGATGCCTAAAATGTAGTTGTAAAAATCAGAGAGCAGCTAAAGGTATTCTGTAGTGGTTGAATTAATTTCTGAATTAAATTCAGAAATCTAGCTCTTGATGGAGGATCTGGCAACACTATAGTATTTAAAGATTTTATTGGAAGGAAAACAACCTATCTCATTTTACACATAATTTACATTAGATTTTTTTTATCCTACCTTTATTATTTTTATATGTAACTCAAGACAGCGAACATACCTATAACTCCTTTCTCCTCCTGTTTTCCCCACAGCAACAACCCTGTGATGTGGGTTGGGCTGAGAGAGAGTGACTGGCCCAAAGTCACCCAGCCGATTTTCATGCCTAAGGCAGGACTAGAACTCAGAGTCTCCTGGTTTCCAGTCTGGTGCCTTAACCACTAGACCAAACTAGCTCTCATTATGACTTCTGTTGAAATAGAGTTTTCTGTTTTTTATAACAAGTAATCCAAACTGCAGCTTTTCAGATCTCATTAAGTGTAACAATTATCACTGGTTTGCTGGCAGTATTACCTATTTATTTAAAAATATTTATAGAAAGAGAATGCAAAGTAAAATAAACATGATAACATAAAGTAATCAGGTGTCTGTCCACAGTCCTTTTATGAGCTGCAAGCTTACTGAAATGAAATAATTTTAAGGACCATCCAGAATGCAAGGAGAGTTGGAGCCAGATACATCTCTGGGGCCAGTGTGTTCCAGGGTTCAAATCGCTGCTGAGAAGGTCTAACTTCTGGCCCCCACTGCTCTTATCTGAAAAGGAAGGAAGGCACTTTGAAGGACTTGTTATTTGAGCCAGGCTAGGAGAATCATGCTTGGCAAAGTGGTCCCCAAGTCATCCCAGTGCCATGCCAAATGCAGCTTTATAGCCAGCACTTTGAATGGGGCCTGGAAGCCAAGTGGTAGCCAGTGTATCAATCTCAAAATAGGTTTTATTCTACAATCTGACCACTCCATTTTGCACCAGCCATAACTTCTGACCGATCTTCAAAGTATCCCCATGTAGAGCACATTACAGTAGACAAAACAGGAACGATAAGGATGTTAATCACAATTCCAAGGCTTACTGGTCCAGGTAGGGCCATAATGATGCACCAGCTGAACTCTCGCACTCAGTCTGCAGAATAGCAGATGGAACTGAATCTGAAGTATCACTTAGGTACAATATTTTGGCAAAGCAAAAGCTTTGTCTTCACAAGCAAATGTCTCCATTTATTCCTTTAAAATATTCTTGTAAATTAATATATGGCTTTGCTGTAGAGTGATTCCATGGCAATTGTTGAGGGTTTATTTTGATGAAAACTGGGTCATGTTCCAAAGGGCTGCTGCATGCAATCTCACATATAGAGTTTCTTCTGTACACTTTTTAACAATTGCTCTCTATTCTTGTAAAAACAGCCCAAGACAGGATTTTGAAAAGCTGTCTCCAAAATAGTTAATGTCTTTTGCATGTCTGACTCTTTCAGCCCCAGCTGCTGTAGTGTGTGTTGTGAAAAAAGCTCAATTTGTGAACTTCAAAAGAGTTTATTTATATGGTATACTTAATTTAGTACAGCTTTTTTACCTAGAATCATTTTCAGAACAACTCAGTAGATAACAAATAACCATTTAAAAGAAAAGAATAAAATAAATACTGTCAGTACAGTTTAAAATTAATTCATTTGTTAGCTCCTGGCTTAATCTACAAGATTCTGCTCAAACCAATAAATCTTTAAAAGCCTGGCAAACAAAAGCATACTTATTTGAAGTAGCAGAAAGTTGAGCTCTTAAAAATGGGTTCCCCTGATGAAACTATGTTGTTGTTGTTGTTTAAAAAAAAATACTGCTTTAATAGCAAAACAAAGAGGAAAACATTTGCCAAATATAGAAGAAAAGAAACACCAAAATAAAGAGAAAAAATAATGAAAAAACAAAATATGTAATGAATTAGGTATATGTAAGATGAAAAAACACAGGTCTTAAACAGCAAATTAAACCTTTACCACACAGAGTAATACTGACTGAACCTTCCACTACAGCCATTTCATATGTAGAGAGTGAACACATATATTTAGTCCAAGCTCTTAAATCAGATGTAGCAGAGTCTTTCCTTCAGAGTAAAACAATCTTTTTAGCAATAAACCACAGTAATAAGATTCCAAATTTTAAGTATATAATGCAACAGTGTGTCACATCTTTAAACCATCTTTCTTTTTCTGGCACTGTATTAACAACCTGATGAATATTCAGCCAAAATGGTACAACTGTAGAACAATCTTCAAACATATAAGTCATTATAAGCCATATTAGAATCACAGCGTACCAAGGTTGAGGGCCAACCTTTGTGAAACATCCTCTTGGGTGTCAGGAAACAGAAAAAAGAATACTTTGTTGAATTAACCCCTGTTAAGATCAGAGGATACGCATTTAACTTTCTTCAAAACTTTAACCAATTGATTTATTAAAACAACATGTTCCAGCTCTTACAGGTATCCCATATCTGTCTTAGCAGTATTTTCCAGCTCTAGACTCGGGATCCACCAAAATTATTTCCAATGGTGATAATTTAGCACTTTCAGATATAACTAACATGTCAAGCCCAAATTGTAGAATCAAAATGTGTTTTAATTTAATATACTGCCATTTTAGGCAATCCAAATTCTGCTTGCAACACATCAAATATTTTAACCAATAACATGACTTACTGTGTTAATACCACTTTTTGCCCAATATCTTCAGAAGAAGGATTTGCCAGCAATTTTAAGGCTGAGATTATTTTAGAGTATCCATTTTTCATGAGAATCTAAATTACTTCCCCCAAATCATCCACACATCTCACAGCCTTTAATGCAGGAAAAACAACTGATTTATAACTAAATGGGAATCAAGTCTCTGTGAAGATACCCAAGGGTCAAATAATAACTTTTTAACTCTACCTATAATGGTTTTGGTGATAGATCACTTATTTTCCATTAGGAGATGCAGGTCGAAATGCAAACTCAGTGACAGAGCTGGAAACCAGGAAAATTGACACTCCCATCCTCATGCAGAAGTTGTAATATAGTTAAGGAGAACCTAGGAGTTTATCCATCCCTTTAAAAGTATCTTGTCAGTCTGTGTAAAATACATAGCAGATATTAACATAGGAATTCCTTTGAGAGTATATATCAGTTCTAGAGTAACATTCATGTTGACAATGTTTATTCTTTTCCATATACCAGTAAGTATGTTAATGATATGTTTATATTAATATTTATCTGAGAATAAATTTATAAATTACATTTTTAAAACCAGATTGTACAGAATGATCTACTAAAGGTAGTACAGTTTGAAGTCTTTGAGCCAGAGCCACAAACAAAACAAAGCATCATGTTTAACAAATCTGGTGGTAACTGCAGGATGTTTGCCAGCTTTCAAAATCTGGGGAAACAACAAAGGAACAAGAAAGTCAATAAATAACTTAAGCCAATCAATAGGAAAACCATCTGGACTATTAATTTAATAGTAATGCCAAGTTATCTCTGGGAGATCTGTTTTGTCCAAATGATCTTTCATATTTACATTTGAAGTCGGGGTGAAAAATTAGTTATAAAAATGGAAAAATGATTTGTCAAATTCTAATTGTTGTACACTTTGCCTTATAAATCCGTAGTTGTAGGTATATTACTTTATTGGAATCGTTTAAGACTAGAAGCCAATAACTTATCTGAGTTTTTCCCTCATTCCCAATAATCTTGCTTTAGATGATTCAATAAACATTCAGTATTGAATACATAAATATAATTAAACTCCATTTTAGCAGACATATAAGATTACATAATGCTTACATACAACTATGTAGCTGTCTTCCATAATTATTTAAAAGTTCTTTGCTTTCTAAATTTTCATTTTCCAATTTCCAATTTTTGTTTCTTCTTTTTCCTTGAAGCATAAGTTATAGTGTTGGTAACATTTCCTAGTCACTAAGTTCATAGTATGTCTGTATATTAAACAAAATCCTTGTTTCTTGTTTCAAAATTCTTGTTTCACCTGCTTTAGAAAATGTGAATCTTAGTAACATTCAATTATCATCTTGAAATGCGAGAATGTTTTTCCTTTAAAGCAATTATAATCCAACAGGAACATCATCAAAAATTACAGTCAGACCTATATTACAATTGTCTATTTGATCAACTTGAGAAACTAAAAAAATAAACCAGTTGAGAACAATTCTTATGAGGAATTGGGAAAAGAAAGTATATTCACATGGATGTGAATTCAGAAGTTACCATATATCTATCAGGTTGAATTCCAGTAAATAAGTTTGTAACACATTCTATAAATTAGAATTCAGTTTACTTGTAATTATTCTATAGTCAACGGACTATAGAAGGACCCAAAACACTGGGGAAAAAACAACAACAGATGTTTTGTGTGACACAAACAAAAGCTGGTTAGTTTTATAGTA